AAAGTAATAAAAGACCACAGGGTCTTCATCACTTTAAAGTTCCATTCGACAGACTGGCGTACCCGACTCATCCACTTGTTGAAATCTCGTTGCATGGTACTGAGACCATTGCCTTTGAACCCGGACAGCATGTGCTCGGACACCCCGTACGCTGGATCGCCATAGATGACTTTCCTCGAAAACACCTCGGGATGGTTTGCTAAGTAGCCCAATAGCCTACTCTCGCGAAGCATGGTCGTATCGTGTCGGCGGCCCTCGATGGGTCCAAAGAAGTGGGCACACAGTCCGTCCGGAACAGTAACTGCTTGATAATTCAGACAGTGCACACGTTTGTGACCGCTGTATATCTCCTTCTGCAAGTTGATGCCGTCGTTGACAGTGGAAATTCGGCAGGTTTGAATCTTTGTGCCATCGATAAATCCAAAGACGCTGGCACACGGCGAACCTTTTCGATGGATTGCAGCACAGTAGCGATCGACGTTGCGTTGAAGGAGCTTGTAGTTGAAGTACAACAGGTGGTTCCAACGGTCGTATATTTCGTTTAGCACATGCAAAAACACATCGCAGAGCACTGGGCGGGAGCGGCCGAAAGTCCTGGCCATGTCGAACAGACGAGTCGGGAACGCCATGCGTGAAAGCAGGATGCAGATGGCCTCGTCGCGCAGCACTCGATTCCGTGCAGTCGTGATCACCACGGCCGGCAAGCCCAAGAGGAAACCCAACTGTTGAACCCCAGCGACGTCAAAGCGAAACTCGAGGAGGGCATTGGCATCGGACATGGCGTTGAGGTCAAAACGCACGTCCGGGATGAGTGGTCGTTCCACAGCTTGCGCTGCAATGACTGCGGAAACGAAGCGCCGTTGTCGCTTGGTTTTGGCGTGGGCAAGCAGGAGGGCGAGGTCCTTCTGTGCGAGTACCATGTTTGAACACTGAGCTGCGGGACGATGCAGGTGTGAATCCGTACAATAACCGGATAAGTGTAGTGACTGGTCTGCAAAACCAAAATTTGACTGGTCAGTACACTGAAGCAAAAAAGCCGATTTTGGCATATTCTAGTGGCGTGGCAGTGAAGGGATGAGTTGCAAAATCTTTCTATTAGCAACCAATACTAACGTTACCAAGAACACATAATTGCATGTCGCCTGACTCAACAACTTTAGAGAAAGACAACTTCGAACATGCCAAATTCGTCGTAACGTTATTTCAAGCGGCGCGTACATGTGGGTATGAGTCAGTAAATCACTATCTTGTACTATAATAGTAGTATGCGTAGGCTGTGTGATACTTAGAGCAATACTAGTACTGCTCTAAGTATCACACAGCTCAGTAAATGAGTCATCGAAGGTTGTCCATTTTCTATTGTACTACTCTGGCAGAGAATACAAGGTAGTAGTAAGTAGTACAGAACATGCACATATTTCCTCCACAATGTGATCCGGAACTGTTCTGTTCTCAATGTGGCGCTAATTTTCTGAATAGAAGCACCGCACTTGCAGTGTGCGCGTACAGTTGCTGTACTAGTACTACCGGTAGTAGTACTTGGAGAACTGTACAACAGTCAATAATGTCACTCTCCAATAAGTTGGATGAGTGCGAAGAAACTTCAGATTTTGCTTTCGCCAACCATGACGGCCTCGATTTTGGCCTTAATAACTTCGTGTCATGAGGAGTTTTTGACCAGTTCCCAGATCTCCTTGGAAAAGTCGTCTCACTGGAAATACGGAAGGTGGAAACGTTATTGTCAAATCCATTCAAAACCGGAGCCGCAAGCAAAAATCTGATCTCTTGAGATAATGAAGTTAAAGAAGCGCCTAAGCCAATTAAATCACGCTTTGTTGAATTTCGTGCCGTGCCTGATTCAGCGGCACCATATACAGTACAACCGGTAGTTTACACTAAACATTGTATATAACATGATACTGTACAGTAGAAGTATAGTTTACATAGGGTCATATGATTTTGGCTATTAATAACAGTAATATCACGCTTAAGCCCAAATATGGGTACAATATGGTTAACTCCCCTAGGACCAAAATCGATTTTCTGAATGCTTGCTACAATAATTCCTGAACGGTTTCAATATCTACCACTAAATATTTCGACATTGTAATCGTATTATTGGCTACGATAATATCACGCATGTAATAATATAGCCTGTACAGTGGTACTGTACGTGATGAACGTTGGCACATTTTATAAATCATGACAAATATAGTTACCATATCTTGAGCATCCTGTTCATTGAAATAATACAAGCAGATTCTCCCACGATGCTACCACCAATACTAATAGACCCTACAAAACTGTACGGAAGGTTAGAATGTTCGTGGCCACCGACATGTTCTGTGTATAGTGGGCGGGTTTGGATGCCATCTTGGACGTGGTTAGTCAAAGAAAATCTAAATACTTCCTATGACGAAAATAGGTCAAAATGTACTCAAAATCAATTCAGAAAATAGACGTTTTACCTAAACTTCCTCTGTAATTGTGGCATTCAAAAAATAACTATAGTGGTTGAAATGTACTAGTCCATACTTATTACACATTGAAGGACTCGCAACTTCGTCGTCAACCTGGTTACGGTGGCCCTGCGTTTGAACACAACTTAAAATTCATAGCCTGGCAACGTATCCTTGGGGCTGAACGTGCATTGGTTGGGGGTAAACGATTCGGTGTGGGAGGCCATTTGAGCTAGCACGCAGCACGAACAGAAGAACGAGCACGCACAGTCTTCCAGGGGCGTGCCGGGGATTTGGAACGCCTTGCGCACCCGCATGCGGATGACCATGAAGAGGACGAAGGCGGCGATCTGAAGGGCGAGGGCGATGTACCACCAAAAGGTCGCGGCGGCACTCACGACGGGGTACCCCATGCTGTTGAAGGAAATGCTCGAGGACGCGGAGCATTGGAGGATGTAAAACACCAGGTACAGCAGGTACATACCGGCAAACACGATCAACACTGTGTTGAACGTGTACATGCCGATGCGGTGCAACGTTTGAGCAAGAGACACACACGGACAGAACGTGGCCAGCAAGCAGTTGGGCACAAGGTCGTTGAAGCATCCAAAGATGTCGGACTTCCACTTGCCGATCACGAGTCCGTTGTCATCTACGGTGGCCCCCAAAGGGACCGATGCCACGTCGATTTGGACGGCAGTGGGGACATGGTCGTCAACAGACTTGTCAACTGTGGCAACGTAATTGTTGGCGGGGCTTCCGGGGGTTTCACGGGGGGTAGTGCTCGTGGTGGTGGTCGGATGGCTGGGGGAAGAGCTCATGGTGGTAAATTGATGGCTGGGGGTGTTGGATAAAATTGAACAATGATATGGAAGGGCGAGTTTTGGATGGGACGCTTTTTCCCGCAGTGCAAAGGCGTGGCAGTTGCATTCTGAGCAAGTGTCCACTCGAAACGCCGACATAGGGCAGGACGGATGACATTTCAAAAGTGTTTGGTTGTCAAGAAACGCATATTTTGACGTGACTATGGGTCAATAAATGGAAGCGTAAAAGCAAAGTCAAATAAGTATAGTCGATTTTCTTCAAATTTCCCATTTTCCATGGTTCATCCAACGGAGCACAAACGGGGCGGAGTCATCTGATTGGCTACTATCTATCTCGCCCATTCTTGTCTAAATCCAAAATGATATTAAGCCTATCAGTGACAGTAAACTTAGTTTCGGAAATGACCAATGGGAGCTCGGTTGGCTCGGCGAGATTCGATTGAACGGGGTCGAGAAATTCATACCGAATCTCCAATTCTACTATAGGTATAAATATTACTATACCACACCATTTCCCGATCAAGTTGGACTTTTTTTCCAATCAATGCGGTTTGAATACATAATACTCGCCAAATACTAATTCCTCGTCCGCAACTACCAAGTGCAGCATAAGGATTACTTCACACGAATGGATTTATTCGTAACGTTAGAATGCCATTTGAATACCATATTTCCCTTATCTCCCTATCTCACCCATCCTCCAGAGAGCATCCGGTAGAGCATACATGAAATAAACTATAGCACCAGAACCTTGATTGGATCAAAAACCACATTGATCCAATTTTTTAGCTTTCCGATACTTGTCAAAATATATACTAGAGTGATTTTGCTATAAATAATTCTTTTTCGAAAAATCACTGTGAACAAATATGTGCCATCCACAGGCAAATTTGTTCGAGAAAAATCACTGTCATAAAACCTCACAGAGAACTGAAATTTCATTGTGACATTCTTGGAGTACAGTATGGACGACAACGATGTGGTAAAGGACAAAATGTCCGAGTCCGTGCTGAAGCGTAAGACAGCATTCCGCTTTAAGGGGTTCACCGACGTCGAGCTTCCTAAGTAAGTCATTCATGTTAGGCCGTTTGAAGCGCCCCATGGCGAGGTCAAGAAGAGCTGGACAGAGGTCACAGAGCATGTCCTACGCATCTATGGCCAAACCATAAAGGTCAACAGAGTATGAAAACGCTATGACGACTTATAATCTTCTGTTCAAGAACCAAACCCTTGCTGCCCTTCGCGCGTCTGGAATAGACGAGGAGAACGATGAGCGCGAGCAGCTGCTTCGGCACTTGCGTTGTAGTGCTGGGGCGTGATTATCAAAACGCCGCACAAAATGCTTGACCGCTTGCTCACTTATCCGGATAGTTGCGATGTCGATATCAATCATGCATATTTACGTAAGTTAGTATAATTTCTCAATGAAGTCAATATTCAAACGTGCTAGTACTTACTACAGATAATTTCGAACTAACGTTAAATTTACTAGATGTAATCCAGTTTTGGCGAATACCACTTGTAGATCCTGAATACGCTTGTAGAAAGGACGATAAATACGCAAGTACAGAAGTTTGAAGTACGATATTGCGCCAGCATATACTTCACAACACAGGGTTCTGAGATCCATGTTGCAATTCGTATATGAATGCTGATTGATTACTATATTTTGACAAGTATCGGAAAGCTAAAAAATTGGATCAATGTGGTTTTTGATCCAATCAAGGTTCTGGTGCTATAGTTTATTTCATGTATGCTCTACCGGATGCTCTCTGGAGGATGGGTGAGATAGGGAGATAAGGGAAATATGGTATTCAAATGGCATTCTAACGTTACGAATAAATCCATTCGTGTGAAGTAATCCTTATGCTGCACTTGGTAGTTGCGGACGAGGAATTAGTATTTGGCGAGTATTATGTATTCAAACCGCATTGATTGGAAAAAAAGTCCAACTTGATCGGGAAATGGTGTGGTATAGTAATATTAATACCTATAGTAGAATTGGAGATTCGGTATGAATTTCTCGACCCCGTTCAATCGAATCTCGCCGAGCCAACCGAGCTCCCATTGGTCATTTCCGA